CTTTTTTTAATTGTACAACGCATTTTGCAGGTTACATATTTTTAATAATTTTATAATTATAATCTAATATAACATGTATCTTTTCTAGATATATATAATAATATTGGTAACACATAATTAAATTTAATATAAATTAACTAAAAAAATAAGTACTTTGTTCTTTTAAAAACAAATGCACGTACAACTCAAAATACTTTTAAAAAATATGAGAGAATAAAATTTTGATATAATTACTATAAGGCAATAACAATTATACGACCTGCAAAGTGTCTCGCGTCTATATATTTTTACACCATTATTTGATCCATTATCTTAATAACAAAAGACATATTAAACTAACTCACCGATCGATGCGCAGCAGCGGAGTTGTCGTTCTGTTGATCTGCATAGTTGATCTGTAAAACACGAAATAAATCAAAATTATAGCAGCGTTCACAATAATAAATATTTGTGAAATCATAAAAAATATTGAGTACATTGAACTTTTAATTCGTTTTCCAAGCAAATATGTAATAAAAGAATTATTAAACAAGTTTAATTATTTAAATAAAAAGTAAAAAAATATGCGAACAAATTCTAATAATGATAAATATTAACTAATGTAAATATTTTGTCTTTTAAATATTTTAATGTGTATAATATTTTCAACAAATGAATGAATTATTGCTTACTGTAAAGTTGCTCCGCCGGCGCCCGATGCTCCTCCTGAGCCTTCTCCTCTCAGTGGTCCTTCGAAGCACTCACATTGAATCACACGCGTTCGTGGCGCATGCATTGCTCGCATGCGTACCTGAATACGAAAATCGCGCGATACTTAAAACGGCACTCCGACGTCACAAAAGAATCGAACCGATTTGTGTATGTAAAGCTGTGACGTTACGCGCGAATTCCGTCCGCGTTTTAGACGACCACATTTACCAATTGGGGTACGATTCTCTCAAAACAGAGGGCAAAGGTAAGCTCGAAGAAGATGAGGTGCGATTAGTCATGCAATCAACCGACTAGATACAAGGCATCTGACCAGCATTCAGTGCCACTGACTAACCACGGTAGTCTCACGACTAGCCTTCGTTAGGTCTGACTTTTATGTCTGACACCGAAGATGCCTTTGCCGTAGTCGAGATTTTATGATTGAAACCGATCTTTCCGTCCCCCGAGCCAAGCCCAAAGTAAAAAAAAATCGTGTCTCAATATTTGTCATACAGCGAAAATGCGTTCATCTATAGATTCGCTATAACTCGCGGTATTAACGGCACTCCCGACGCGCATTTTATATAAATGCAAAATTACGGCGGAATGATATTACAATAATTACATGATATTTTAGACGACACTCCCGACGCGTATTTTGTCATGTTAGGACAAAAGTAAAACTCGTATATCGCTCGCACGCGTTCGACACCCCACCGCGTACGCAACAGGTAACGATTGGAAGGGGGAGGAAGGTGGAAGATTGTAAGGAGTAATAAGAATTGAAGTAGGAGGGATAACGCGCCGATACGCGAAACGGTCTGTCTCGTTCAAGTGCCGCCGTGCGAATAGTAAAATCCAGCTCAAGCTCAAGGATAAGGTCAAATTGCGAAAAGTACTATTTGGAAAGAGTAGGGAAAGGAATGTATACATGCCGATCAGTGTGTGCAAGAGAGAAAGTGTGAGAGTGAGGAAAAGAGGATATAAAGTACGTAGGTCACAGAGCGAACGTAAACAATCTCACCGAACACCCTCCCCCCCCCCTTCCCCATGCCGTGAATCAGCGTCGAAATTCCTAATATGATATACCATATTTTCCACATTATAAGATATTCTTTGGCGTTCAGAATTTTAATTTTGATAAATAATTTACTATTTTATTTTTCGCTACTATCGTATTTTGTGTATCGTATCGTATTTTAAAATTTTTATCTGTAGATTTGTCAGCGTAACACGAACATGAACCAACCAGGGCTCTTTTATCATCCCGGAAAATGGATGTGGCCATGTAGTTCCAGGCAGGCTGTAAAATGGATATACGCGCCGCTAGTGTACGGCCTAGAAAAAGCGTCTTACGATAAACGGCAGCATGGCCCCTCTCAGGTTTCTCTCTGGTAACAGGTAGGTCGGCATGCAATGATTAGGATAATATGTTAATAGGAACACATGATGGTATAAGAGGTCGTACGAGAGTGGTGTCATCTTTGGTCAGTTATTGCAATGACGAAAGCACTTACTATCGGTACACTTACCATTAGCTCGCTTACCATCAGTGGTTTCGTCATGTTGCAACAGCTGATCGAAAAATGGCACTACTCTTGTACGACCTCCTCTATTATCATGTGCTTCTGTTACAATTTTATAAAATTCCGCTTAAGATAGAGCATTTCTAGCCGTTCCAGCGGATATAATCTTAATTTTTCTGCTTTTGGGTTACTTTTGACAGTATTAGAATACTCGTAAATATTAAAATAATTGAAACGTCTCTTTTAAAATTTTTGAAAAGTTTCTTATTGCATAATTTAAAATCCCAATTGTTAAAGAAATAAAAAAACGACGTTTTTTAGGACGTTTTTAGGATGTCTTAATGTCTTTAAGATTATTTTAGGACACCCTCAAGATGTCTTATTTAGAACGTTTTTAGAACGTCTTTTTTAGAACGTCTTTAGATGTTCTTATATTTATTATATATATAATATATGTTAGTATTATGCTCAGGGTGCAAAAGTTTATGCCGATTCGGTAAGAAGGAGACAGAAATAGTATGTTTGCTCTTTCTAGTGTCCGAAGCGCGGAGCTCACATGTATGTAACATGGCTTGCGCATATGCGGCATTTCCTCCCTCATGCTGCGTCTCAAATCTGGCGTCATTGCATGAAAATTGTTCAATAAAGTGCGTGAAAATTGTAATAGATGTGAAGTTCAACGTAAATACTGAAATTATTACGTGAATCTTGATTGATATATTATTATCTTAAAGAAGATTTGATGATATTTGTTGCTGTTTAGTATAAAATTTGGATATAAGATTGTAACTATGGAAGCAAATGAACAGAAAAGTGATTTTACAACCTCACTTTCCAAGGATGCTTCTATGACAGATGATAACATGGATACAAGTAATGAAATCATTTCTGAATTAGCAGTATGTGATAAGCAAAGCACTGAAAGCACAGAGAACAAATCTGAGTCTTTCCAAAATGAGGCTGACACTTGCAAAGATTCGGGTTTTAAAAAGCCATTGCTACTGATTGGTCCAAAGCGTGGTAAGATTGGAAAAATCCGTACAATGAACAATAATATTGCTTCCTCATCTACACCTTCCTCGTCTACACCATTGTCTGTGAAAAACGAAGCAACTGCGAGTACTCACTCTCCAACCGATACTAAGGATAAGATTAATAAATCAATATCGACAGAAGGCTCTATCGAAGAAAATGTCTTACTGGATATGAAAAACATTCCTGTACCATATGTGGAACCAACATGGAGTGGGAAACCGACAGAGGACTATAAATTTGAGATTCTTAAATCTGGAATAATTCTAGGAAAGATTGATTTAAGTGAGAAAAGCTTTCATGTAGTAGGGAGATTACCTTCTTGTGATATGTCTCTTGCTCATCCAACTATTTCAAGATACCATGCAATTATTCAATACAGAACAATGGAAGACGACAACAATTTGAAAGGTTTTTATTTATATGATTTGGAGAGCACACATGGTACATTTTGGAATGGACATCGTATAAAACCAAGAACTTATGTCAGATTGCATGGAGGTCATATGATTAGATTTGGTTGTAGCAAGAGAAAATATATTCTATTAGCTCCACCAGATGATGAAGAACCCCTTCAGATTCCTCAATTTAAACTATTGAGAACTCAATTAAAGGTTGGTTGTATAATGAAATTTGTATTTAATATGCTTGTTTTGATCAGTTTTGTAATATTTTGCTGTTAATTTCTTTGTAATTTCAATTAAGATCCTTGAGCATGTTTGTTTACAGGAAACACGATTGGAAGAATTGCAGGAACAAGAAGAAGCTGAAGGAGGAGCAAAAGAGACACAAGAAAGCGAGGGTATTGACTGGGGAATGAGAGAAGATGCTGACGAGGAAACGGATCTGACGGAGAATCCTTATGCCTCTACAGCAGATGAGGAATTATATTTAGACGATCCTAAGAAAACACTGAGAGGCTGGTTTGAGAGGGAAGGATATGATTTACAATATCAAGTTGAAGAAAAAGGAATAGGGCAATTTTTATGTTGGGTAATGTAAGTATAATTAAAATTCTATTTGAATACATTAAACTTTGACTTGTCATTTTCCTTTATATAAAAATGAAAACAAATTTCAGTTTGCCTAAAGAGTGTTTTGGTGGTCACTCCATGAAAGCAGAAGCTCTTGTCAAAGGAAAAAAGAAGGAATCTGTCATTCAATGTGCTTTGGAGGCCTGCAGAATCTTGGACAGACATGGATTATTGAGACAAGCTAATCATGGTAATATATACATATATCTAATGATAAAAATATTACTTTTTGAAATAAATATGCGAAATCTTGTAAAATTTTAAATTAATTAAATTTATTGAATTAATAAATAGTAAGTTATATGGATACTTACTTGAGGATTTCACATTTCTCATGTTACTGATGTAAATTGAAATTGAAATGAATGATTATTAATTACAGAAAGTCGAAAAAAGAAAACCAAAAATTGGGAAGAAGCTGATTATTACGATTCAGATGAAGACAACTTTTTAGACAGGACAGGAACAGTAGAAAGGAAACGTGAACAGAGAATGAAACAAGCTGGAAAGTTGGAAAAAAAAACTGAGACATATAATTCATTGGTAATTGCTATTTTCTCATTTATTTTTGTTTATACTTTTGTGTAGGATATATTAAACATGTATTTTCAATATTAAACATATTGTTTCTACTATTTTAGAGTGAAAAACATAGTGAGATTGTAAATAAAATTTCACATTTGACCAATCGCTTAAAAGAGGCACAAGAAAGCAGCTCCAAAGCAGGAGAATCTAACGAAGATTCATTGGATGCTTTTATGTCTAATTTAAATCAATCTAGTTTGAGTAAGAGCGATGTAACGAAAATGAAAGTGGAACTACAAAACTTACGTAAAGAAGAGATGAGGCTCGTTAAATTAGTAAACCTTACAAAGCCGGCTAATTTGCCGCCTCTTATTAGCACCTGTCAAATACAAGATAAAAAAGATGATTCACAGGAAAAATCAAAATCTTCCACAAGAAAAATTTCTCAACTTGAAAAAAGAAGGAAACTTTTTGAAGCAAAGGTAAGCAATTATTTTTCAAATACTTTTTTCCCATTTAATAAGAATTTCTTAAATAAAGAAATATAATTTTCAGAACAATGATTCTGAGAGGGTATTAAATAGTAATGATATGGATAACGAAGAAGAAGAGGAAGAAGAAGACGAAGATAAAGATAAAGATAAAGATAAAGATAAAGAAGATAATACAGAAGATAATACAGAAAAAGATGATACACGTGAAATAGAATGCGATAAATCTATATCATACGAGGACAAAGTAGAATCAGAAGAAAAAGCGGAAACTAACGATAAACAGTATAGTTTAAAGAGTATTAATCAGGATACAGAGATAAGCAAACAGGACGTGAATGTTGCAGACGATAAGAAACGAAAAAAAGAAAGAAAAAACGAGAAATCGAAAAATATAAAGAAACATTATGATCAGGATGTCCATACAGAGGATTATTCTACGTGGTTGCCACCGCAGGGTCAATCCGGAGACGGAAGGACAAGTCTCAACGATAAATATGGATATTGAATTAAGATTAACGTTTAATTTTGAAGAAAAAAAAAAAAACAATGTAAATATTGTTGATGAAAGATTTGGCATTATAGAATACACAAAAAGACTACTTATTTTTAGCTCCTGATTAATAATTTGATATATAGATCATATGCAACTAATTTATATTTTTACATTGGAAATGTCACTTGAATTTATTTTACATTAAACAAATTGCGAAAATATGTACGAACATTTTTATTTATTGAATAAATATAAAAGAGTTGCTTTCTTTGATTTTTCTTAATTAGCATAAAATATAAATACAAAACTATGAGGTAATCCTTATTTAGCTTACAACAAGATCTGACATACATTATTCAAATTGAATTCACAATTTTAAATTGTTTTTTTTTTTAAATTCTTAATTACTATGTGTATGTAAATGTAAGTTAAGTGCATGTATGTGTGTGTGTGTGTGTGTGTGTATGATCGCAGTTGTGTGAGCTCAGGTCCGTGGGTTTGCTAAGCCCAAATGACTGTGCGATTCAGTCATCCCTGCGGATGACTATATGCACGTTATGCCGTCTGATAGCCACTGCAGTAGTACTGCAGAAAACGCTAGGTGTCACTGGATGATACATTTTTGTGTTTGCATAATATGCATCAGTGAATCGTGACATTTGGATACATGTGAGTTAATGTTTTCGAAAACTTTAAACACACAAAGGAAGGAATATGGAGCACGTCGATAGTCCGAGCTATTTCCAAACGAGTATGTATCACAGCAATATGCGCAAAACGTCGACCAATACGGTTAACACTAATTTACTCCGAATTGCGTTGGCGTTTTCGCAATTGCTTTCTTTCATGGAGTATCGTTCTTACCTGGTGTATGGAGTTTTGTGCACAATATCTCGTCTTTTTTGCATTGTTGGCAAGGCAGTTACAATGTACCTTATCTTTCAGTTTGGACACCAATAGCTTCTGTGGGATGGTATCTCGTAGCAGTTGCAGTTATTGCATACTATGCATTTCCACACATTGAAGAGAAATATAAAAGTTGGAAGCTCGCAAGGAGCCAGCAGAACGGGACTGCAATTAACAAAAGTAAGTCAGTGATTTGATTAAATATTTAATTTTTTTTATTAATTTGACAAGCATTGACGAGCACTGACGAACCATTGATAAGCAATGATCCAATTTTTAATTATAACGTAAATTCATGTGCTTTATCTTGTAATTTTGTATTTAGAGACAGATCAGATACCACAATTATCTGCTAATGTGGAGTTAGCACGACAGAAGATGCAAGAAGTGTATAACAAGAATTCCGTTTTAGCACAAGTCAAAGAGGAAGAAGTATGTTATGCTTTTTTGTTATATATTATGCGATATATTGAAATATTTTACTACACTTATTTACTTCTGAAATATAGATTTAAACGCTCTACCTTTCTGTGTTTAGGAAAAGGAAAAGAAGCGTCAAAAGATCTTAAAATTACTGGAGAATAAAAATGTGGGTCAAAAGCTAGGTAGTACACCAGATGATGAAATGCCCAGTACAAGTGCAAAATCAAAGTCGTTTAAATCAGGTAACATTTTAACAATACATTATTCAAGTTAAACTTCTCTAAAATAAAATTCAAATAGCGTATAATGTTCAAATATACTATATTTGCAGAATATAACCCATTGATGGGCGACAGTAGTCGCGGATATCGTCCTCCGAAACGTAGCTGCTGTAAAAAAGGTGGATGTGGTTAATTTAAGATTTAATAGAATTTCATAAATTACTTATTCTTATGACGAAAATTTAAGATGGTGAAAATAAAGGAAGATCAGAGGCAATTTAAAGTTGTACATTCGAAATATGGAATATTCCATGATATATTAATAAATTGTTATAATCGTTAGAGCATATATATAATTTTTACACGAGTATTAATTCATATTGTATAAATTTCAAGTGCTAATAAACGAATAAAATTAATTTCATTAAACATGTTTTGTATACTCACATCGTTGCATTGCGTGGCCACTGAAAACAAATTGCTGGGTTGTTTAGGAAAATCGGCGCGATTGCGTCGCAAGGAATGCAGGAGAGAATTTTACACAGTCGCGAGGGTCAGTCAGTTTTCAATTTTCAACATTACCTTTTATTAATAGTTATCAGTATAATATGCAATGATATATATCAGCATATGTCGCTTCATACGTGTACGTGGTACTTGACAATAGCAACTGTTACAAATTATCTACAGTCGTGCGCGTGTCTATGTGTATGTATATCGTGTGTAACGTGTGTCTCTGTAATATGCACGCCACTATCATTATTTCTTAAATCTCATCGATTTCACTCGTGCGACGACGGTCGATGAAGAAAGACGAACGGCGTTGTCTCTCCGTAGTAAATAAATTATAAAAATTAACTATAAAAATGTCCACTTTTCTTATTTATCCGCTGTATTTACAAAATATAAAAAAGAAAGATTGAGCTAAATACATCTCTGTGGACTTTTCCCACGCACGTGCGGGCCTATCGCATTCACACGTGTGCGGCTCGTAAAATGCAATCCAGAGAGAAAGAGAGAGACAAATAGAAAATTGTCGACTATTGTACCTCTTTTTTTTCCTCTCACAGTGCCTCCAATTTCAAAACCACTATATTGTGTCCTTAATGATATGGATTATTTTTACATAGTCCTAACTCTCTAACAGTCTAATTAACTTCCCGAGTACCAGCCTCTGCCGCCACTACCCACGCGAAAAATGCCAGACTGTCTTGTCAGAAAATACAGTGAACACTTTTTAAGCGTAAATACATGTTCGATACACTTATAGATATACTTTAAATGCGTACAAACACTATTCATTGACATCTATTTATTTGAAACATTGTTAATCACGAATCCGAAAGAGGAATGTCGTTGTCGACGAGTCTGGCACTCTAAGAGTTAGATCTTTTTACAATCTCGCATTTCACACTCCGGAAGGAAGTTCTGTGTATTTCAAACGGTACGTTCGCGAGATCCGCACGATCCAGGGACTGATTGCTTGCGTTAACGTCGAACAATCTTTCTGATTTATCATTCCGATTGATTATCTCGATGCGCGCGTTACTTCGTGCTATTCAAAGCGTTACTTTGGCAATTCATATTTTGAGAAAATTAGTGCAGGTATTTTTTTTATTACTTTTATGTTTATGTTTATTTATTTATTTGCATTTTTTAAATACTTAAGATTTCGAGAAATTTTCATTTAAAGAGAAAAAAAGATTGATTCCAAATTTATCAATGTGTAATATTTTCTGTCAGATTCAGGACTTTCAATTGAAGAAAAGGCACTCTAATTAGCACAATCACTATCAGTCCCGATTAGTGTTCGGCGATTTCGACAATGCGAAATTTGAAATGCGGAGAACGTTCTTCGCGGAAGCGACAAAGTTTGGCTCGACACCGCTACAGATGTGGATTGTTGTGTAATATCGTCTTAACTTTAATGCAATCATTCCCTTCTCTTCATCGTGTAGCGTGACGGCCTGTGGCAGTTCCACTGACAAACAGGATCGTCAGTCAGTCAGTTGATTGATCGATCGATCTGGTCTGCTCGACGAACTTGTCGCACTTGAATGTGTGTGTGTGTATGTGTTCTGTCGCGTGTGTGAGTGTGTTAGTCGTGTGTTGAGGCGTCGTTTACACGAGTACTGCGCAACACCTTTCACCGAGTTTAAACGCTACTGTTATCTTTTTACACAAGTCCTCTCAACCATCGTAACAATAATAAGATGACAAATTATAAAAATAATACGTTATCTTTTCTCGTTCTTCCGCGCATTGATACGATGGTTTGGCAGCATGTCCGTTGGCTGAATCACGATCGCTTTAGGAATGGAGATACGGCGCTTTCAGGGAAAGGGTCACGATTCTGTAGCCTTCAGTGATATATATATATATATATATATATATAGGTATATCCGTATGTGCATGTAATAACCCTTCCTCGATAATATGCAGCTGCATCGCGCGATCCGAATCCGCACGCGTCTCTCGCGCCTGAAAGCTACGCGTCCACGCGCGAATCGAGCGCGGCGAGCTGTAAACGGTGCAACTCTCGTTCATGTTTCCATCTTGATCGCGACGCAAACATAAACGCGCTCGCATGCGAATGATTATCGCAGTGGACCTCGCAGCTTGGCGGACGCGGCTATCTCTCGAGGAAGATGCATCGCTCCCTCGCTTGTCTAACGGAACGCGAACGCGATTCCTTCAGAATTCTGACGGCGATAAGCGCGGACAATCTTGCTGGTATCGCGCGATAACTCGCGCAATGATATGGCGTACGGTATTCCGCGATCTCGTCAGAACACCGAAGGCAATTGCCGTCGTTCTACTGATAAGGCATATTAGACAAGCGAGGGAAGAAGGAAGACGGAAGTGTAGCCCCCTCGAAAGCGCTGGGCTTGCTAAACTCCGCGCCTCCTTCCTCGCGATCTCTCGTGCGAGCTCGCACTCGGACGCGCGCACTCGTACGTTGACGACGGAAATACTTAAAAATACGCTCCTCCTATCCTAAATTATGCTTAAGATGCTTCCTTCTACAGCGGTAGTCTCGCATCTACTACCCCCCCGACGACTCGCTCCGTTCTCTAGCCTAAAAGTATATCGAGCTGATATTCTCTCTCCCTACTCGTTATCCTCGTCTCTGCTTGGATGGACTTTTTTTTATCGAGTATGAATCCACTCGCCCGCGGGCGCCACGTCGGCGCGCCGAGTGGACTCATACGCCGGGACTTACATCACTATATAGTCGCGTATCACTAGATAGACCTTAAGTTCAACTCTCTGAGTTAACAAATTTAATTCAATTATCTTCGCTAGTTAATTACTTCTTTTTTTTTCCACCTCCTTTCGTCTCCGAGATCGCAATTCCTGTGTGAGGCCTATATTTTCTTACGGAATTTACATACGGCAGTATGTCGCGTATTGGGCGTCTGAGCGGGATAATTCACCTAGTCAGCCGGCTGGTTTTCGGTTCGCGAACCGACGTGTGACT